ACGCCGGCCGCACTCAATGCAATTATTTGTCGTTACTTTCAGGAGCCCAACAACGAGAAAACCAACAACGGCATCCACTATAAACTCCAGCTGTTGTACAGCAATGGTAAGTGGCCGCTGCTGCCGCCTGCCCGCCCCTGCCCGGCTCCCTCGCTCTCTCCTTGCCCGAGATGCTTAAAGGACATAAAGATTTTGAGATTAAAATGACATGGATGTAAACACGAAATCTTCTCATGGCATAGAAGGAAAACAAAACATAAACGATCAATAAGTCGATGGCACTTCACATGATTAACCGGTAGGGCTTGAAGTAGAAAGTAAAAAGCGGGTCGATAGGCGCTCCAGCCGAACATCACTTCTAAGTGACTTTTTTCAATTTTGCAAATTAATGTTAATTATTGAGATGGGGGTGGCTCTGGTAAACCGGGCGTAACTTGCTGCCCGGGCTCCAGGTTCTTAAAAATCCTCGAGAGACGTTAGAAAGAGTTCAGACTCTGTTTCCATATCTTGCTTTCTGTTTTCTAAAAATAAATGACCACATGGGCCTGTGGGTATGGCAGCCAGGCCTGCACTCAGCTGGGCACATTTCTTGCACCTTTCAAGGCAAACCCTGGGAGTCCTAAGGTTAATTAGGAAAAAAAAAAAAAGCGAGAAGCAATTGGGGTTTTCTTTCTTGCCTTTTAAAAGGCCAAGCCTTAAGTTTGCTGCATCACGCGGCTGCAGTCCCTGAGCCCTGGACTTCCTGTGCCCGGGTGCCCTTGCTAAACTGATGGGTACTTCTCTCTCTCTCTCTCTCTCTCTCTTGCAGGAGTGAGAACGGAGCAGGATCTGTATGTTCGCCTCATAGATTCCATGACCAAACAGGTGAGAAAGTTTAAGCGTCTGCATGAGTTTTCACTGCTCAGCTGGGCTTGTCCCGGGGTTCAGAGACGAGCAGACTGACAAATGGATCTGTGTGTTTTTGTTTTTCACTTAGTTTCCTTGACATGCTAATGAGAATTCCATATTTATTGGAATAAATGAAGCAATTGGTGAAATAGTTTAGGTTGTCATTAGAACAGGACAGATATGCTTTATTAAATGGCTTGTGATGGGATTCAGATTCTCTCTTAATTAATTATGGTAATTAATATTTGACAGAAAAATTCCAAGATGCCCCTTTCCGTGTATTTTTAAATGCGTTTTTGTTTTGTTTTGTTTTGTTTCTCTCTCTCTCTCTCTCTCCTTGGAATCATTTCATTGATTTTTTTCTCCCTGTAACAATGGCAACTAACTCCTTTCCAAAGCCCAGTGAGTGGGGCTTGATTAGTTCACTCTTCCTCCTTTCCAGTGTGATGGTCTAGTAACACGAGACGTTTATTTGAATTTAAAAGTTAAATGTGTTGGGGTGAAAAGTCACCTTGTTCTCCTCTAGTCCATCTTCACCTCTCAGCCCCTCATCTCCATAATTCAAACTCCGAGCTCCAGGGGTCACCCAAACCCGCCCATTGCTCTGTGAGCCGCTCTGGCTCCTGCTCCCGCCCTCTGTCATACCTTGTAAATAACATAATTACAAGCAGGTCCTTATTAAATTATTTAACCTGTCTTGGTCAACTTTTCCGAGGATAACTATTGGCTCTCGGAAATGTCATTAAGTGCAGAAAAGCACTTCCTTGCTTTTTGACGTTGTGCAGTTTCTCGCTGGGTTTGTGCTGGGTAGTACGTTGTTGTCCAGTTGTTTTAAAGATCTCCCCCACCCTTTTCTTAAAAATAGAGGTTGGGGGAGGGGCAGGTCCGATGTGTAAATTAAATCCACTTGGCACAGATTGATTTAAAATACAGTTCCAGGCTGGGCTTCAGGCTTGGAAATGAAAGTGGAGTCTGGGTTTCTGATGCGAACTTGAAGAATGCGAGCCAGCGAAAGCGCCTCCCGGCTTCTGCAGCCAGGCGCGCGTGCCTCCCGCTCTGCTCCGCAATTAGGTTTCTGATTTTACTTCCCCTCTAGAAAGTTTGTCCTTCCCTAGGCAGCCCGCGTGCTAGATTTTAATGTCTGCGGTGCAAAACAGCGCGGCTTTCTCTGAGAGTAGAAAACAGATCTGATGGTAAACTCCGCTCTTTCTGAGGAAGACAGGCGGCGTGCCCTTCGGTCATGATTTCACTCGGATGCGGGAAGCCTCTGGAAGTGGGGCTGCTGGTGGACGGGGGGCTTTTATTTCTCTGTATGTAAGGACTGATGTTTTCAGAGAGCGCTGCGGTGGGAGGAAGCGGTGGAGGTCGGCATCCCTAAGTTTTCCTGTTGTTCGGAGAGCAGGAGGGCTGGTTTCAAGTGCACTTTTATTGTTCATTTAGCCACGGACCTTGGCAGTATAAGCAGGGCTGGGAATAAAGGCGTTTCATCTCCTCTCGCTGACCGGATCGAGGGGGAAAAGGAAAGAAATAGCCCAGTAACTGATCAAAGAGTCAATGGTGCTGAGCCGACAGTTTATGGATTTCTGTTTGTGCCACAAAATAAAGAATAAATC